CACGAGAAGCAAAAGTATTGTAAAAAGCATTCTATTTTGTACTTATGCCTCTAGTATGAACATGTTTGTTCTGTATCCACGCCGCCTCGTTACTGTCATTTCTACATATTATATTTGTGAATTTTCGTCACTTTGGCCGCCTTAAACTTCAGAACCACTTAACTTTCGAAATTGACAAAATTAATGGTGGTTCAGAATCATTTAAAAGGAGCACAGTTTTATTGAGGAGCCTGAAGCCACTGTAGTTTAACTTTCAGTTTTTCATTAGCTTAATTTGGATCTAACTTGGGAAAATCCATCTTTTAAGACGCCATTATAAACAGGTGAGGTTTCCGTTCACTAGCCGTGCGCGCTATTTCCACGTTGACTTGATGATCGACGATTGTTTTAAGTACGTTCATCGAACGTGCACTTATCAAGTTAACGATATTTGTCGATCGTACTCACCACTGACATTGATACTCTGGAGGCAGAGATTTGGGCTGGGCAAGCACGTCAATGCGATCGAAGACTGGTCGGTGGGTTCATGCATGTTGATAAGATTAGTTGTTGTTGGTTTTTTTGGTAGAGGGTTTTACGGCGCTCGCAACTGCATAAAGTTAAATGAGCGCCAAGGGGTGGGTGTCAACAGAGAAGTACAAACAGGGAATCAGACTTACTCTGCTCACCTCTCTAGCTTCAACAGCACAAGGTCTGCTTCGACTATCAAGGCACCCCGGAAATAGCGAGTCACAAAGGTGTGACATATATACAAAAGGAGCAGAGGAAAATGACAATAGTAAGGATTAGGAAAGAAAAAGCAGCAGTTCCCTGTTGTGGATCAGGCACAGTTATGAACGTGGTATGATGAATCAGCCCATTTACAATTCCGCTGTGCATGGACGAGAAACGTCCCCCTTTGGCAATGGCCTAAAGACACTACAGTCAGTGGCACTGCCCCAGGGGGTTTTGATGAGATTAAATACGATACGATAAGATAGAATAATATATGATGTTTTAAAGAAATGAGCCAATTAATTGCACTTGTTGAGGTGAAAATGCTACCTTGTCAGACCCATGGACAAAAAAGTTTGGGATAATATATTCAACTCTACAAGAATAAAACAGTTAAATTGTGGGGAACAGGACCGATAGATATTTTGTGAAAAAGGTCAAAACGTGGATGCCAAGCCAATGGAAATCGTTAGAGAAGTAATGTGATATAAAGTTACAAAGACAAACCAAAATATACAACCAGACAACTGGCCATGTTAGTCTGTATAGAGGTTAGAAGATAGGTTTGCTCTAAACAGAGAATTCGTTCAACGAGAGGGGATGCAAAATATAAGCTTATTAAGAGGACCGGGTACGTTGGTAAAGAACTGAACAGAATAGAATTAAAAAGCTAAAGCTCTTTTGATGGTATCTTTCTGTTACAGGTTTAGAAAATGTTGTCTTTCAAGGACTAGAAGAAAAGAGGGCGAACACTCACGTTAACGAAACGATAGACAGAATATGAATCAAACACAAAGATGAGCAGACAGGTGGAGCGCTAGAGTGAGTGAGTGAGCGATATATATATATATATATATATAATTATATATATATATATATATATATATATATATATATATATATATATATATATATATATATATAAATATATATAATTAGCTTTTTGTGGGTGGAGGTGGGAATCAGTTAGGACCTCTATATTAATAACATAGATCAGTGGCAGAGGTGGGATAATAGTATGTACCCACCATGTTCATCCCTCCAGCTCGTGGCATGCCCACCAAAGCTTCCTCGTCTCTGAATCAGGAAGTTGTTATTCTCGTTGTTTTTCTTAGATGTTCCACCACGGGGTCCTGAACTCTTGACGCCGTTCTCGGGCGTCTTCGTAGCACTGCTGCTTTTTGTCACCTGACCTTGATTCTTCCATCTTCTCATCACGTCGTCCTCATTCTCGAAACCCTTACCAGTGTAAGGGTCGTAGATCGAGCCAGAGTTGAAATCCAGTCCTCCGGTTGGTCGAGATGCAGGCATGCTGTTTGCCGTGGTGTTGTTGTTGGTGGTGGTGGTGGTGGGCACGTACATCTGATCGAACGAGTTGACATCCGTTTCAGAGTCGCAGCGTCTCAGTAGCGGATGCGACGGCTGGTAGAGGCCGCTCGACGTTGGCATGACGCTGTAGTTACTTCTCGTTCTGTACACGCCCCGTCCTAGCAGATCCTCTCCAGACGAGTCGGCGCAGGCGTCTGGGAATGAGCAAGTGCTGGCCTGGCTCCCGCCACGACACGAGTAAGGCAGGAACCGAGAACACGCCCTACCGTCCCCCGAAAAGCAGTTAGTCAGAGCACTCTGTCCATGGTCCACGAAAGCTCCGCTTTGAAATTTCATTTTTGGTTGGTGATAATATTTCAGCACCTATTAATTTCCGTGCTGTGTTAATCAACTACGTTCACGTTATTATTGCTATTAAGCAGTAACTGTTCTTGTAGATACTACTATAAGTTGTTGTTGCTAATAGCATAAAAAATATACTGTTGATCGATAGAAGTAGAAGCAGCCAAGGTTAAAACATCTCTGAAAATACGTATAGTAAAGAGTTGCCTAGAGTTCTTTCATCAGTCTGGATGACAGCAAGCAGGCTTTTGGTAGTCAGTCTCATCGAATTCGGCGAGGAATCGAACTCATAATTTAACTCCTAGAAAAAACAAAACGACATGAAGTCTTTGCCTGGTAGCCTTCAGCTGGCGAGGGAAGAGGCTCGCTTCAATGTCCCGATGTTAGTGAAGCAGTCACACTGTTGAAAAGTGAACATTGCATAGTAGATCTGTTAGTGTTAGCATTGCTACTACTACTACTACTACTACTACTACAGAAGTTTGTATAGTGGGAAAAATATTGTAGCAGCTCTTAAAAAGATTCAGCATTCATTGTAAGAAGCGATAGTTGTCGGAGAGTCCCCCCCCCCCCAACCTTCCCCACTTTTTTCTCCCCCGCCCCCTCCTCTTCATCACCTTTCCCTATTTTCATCCCTAAACGTAAAATTTCTTACTGTCCTGGTACATTTTCCGTGTTCATGGATGGTAAAGAGAGCTTTATATTTGTGAGGCAACGTGGTGGAATCAGGCTCTCGTCAATTTTTTGGGCATGCAGAATTATTGGTATCATCTTAAAGCTTATTCACGTGTCTTCATTTGGATTAAAAAAGTATCGATTTATTTTTAATACAAGTGGAGGTATTTGCAAAAGAAGGAGATGGGGGTCACCTGTTTTCAGAGGTAAAATTAGTGAGAAAATGGCAGCCAAAGATCAGTTATTTCCTTAGCTTAAGAGTCCGTGGTAACTGAAAATTAACATTTTTTGTGCCTTTAATCAATTTTTTAAAGAATAATCCACACAAAAATGAGTTTTTTAATGGGTATGAAAGGTGTTGAGCTAAAAAAACAAAAATTTAATAAAAATTCACAAACCTGTGGAAAAATGCAAGTTTCTTCACTTTGATTACTTGGACGAGAGCCTGATTCCACCGCGCTGCCTCACCTTTATAATATCCTAATTTTGTTCCTTTCCCTCTTTTGATTCAGTTTGTCTGGCTTGCGTTTTCCTAGCTCAGTATGAATGTTTTCGTACAGATGTGTCTTCTATTTCACAAATAAACTAACAGTGTTTCAATTTTTCCCCTCCCATGTCGAAACAGGTCGCTAAAAATCCACTTTTTTCATATTTATACAGTAAATGTTGCTATGACATAAATTTATAAGCAGATCACGTTGTCTTGTTAACTTTAAAATTTGAAGAGTGGACAGAAGAGTTAGGGCCGTTGAGAACAGTCAGATTAATTTACTTTCGTGGAAAATTTATCTTTCCCGACGCGCTGCATGATGAGTGTGAAAACACTAGAAGGTTGCCAAGAGCACAGGAAGTTGAAAGAGGGGCCAGTCATTGTTGGCGTTGACGTATAGTGTTAACAGAACAGGACAGGAGTTAGTCATCATCATCGCAAAATACCAGATCTGAAACACAGACATCCGCGATTATGGTACTCCATTCATTTGTCCGCTCGGATGCTCTAGAAAAAACCCCTGTATATTCCACCCATCTGCTCCTTTTCATCGTCTACCCCCATGCCCTGTTGCCTCTATTTTTTTCAATGACCGCAAGGGTATTTTTATAGAAGCACTCCCGTTTCGCGTCACATCCACTACCGGAAGTCAGCTCCTCCACCACTTTAGTGCCGTCGGATATACGAATAAGGTCAGGGTTTTTTTAGTTAAGGCTTAGTTTTAGGATTTTTTTTTTGAAAATGCAAGCTTTTTTAGTCATTAGGGGGGGGGGGGGAGGGGTTCCCCCCCTCCCTGAAATAAAGTGCCGTAACATCTAAAGTAACCATTTGTGACGTTTTTCAATGCCAAAATCGTGTTCAGAGCCCTAAAAAACATACAAAAAGCTAGAAAATAATACCCTTTATGAGACGGGAGGATTTCTATAAATTTACTTTAAGATGTAATTTAGAAGATTTCAAGAAATGGCCCCAAAAACTGCATTTAATTTGTTGCCTCCTAATTATAGATGTAGATTATTATAGATCTAGAATCTAACTGTTTTATGAAATAGTGAGCAGCCTGCGTGGGTTTCTTTCAATACCTTCTCGTTGGATTTCTTTTCTAAGAAATGAAATAGCTCATTCTGTTCCTTCTATTCTATATTGTCGCTATCGTTCATTTGTAGGCCTATAGAGAGAGTTAGTAAACTGCAAATTATAGTCTGGGTTGCAACCCCCCCCCCAAAAAAAAACACAAAAAAAACAACCCAACAACAACAAAAAACACAAAAAACCCAGCTACTTTGACAGGCTTTCTAATTGACATTGACATTAACGATTTAGTTGTTTGAGGCTCTAAGTAGAGCCTGTTCAACTATCTGGTAATGAATGACAATAATGCATTGCGTGCAGGCTAGACAAATCCGTTTTGGCAGGTGGGGTTGTAAATAGTTGGAAGATCTTTCCAGTATTCGTCCAGACGTCTCTTAAATGTGTCCACGTTTGGAACTGACACCAATGATTCGGGACGATTTTTCCAAATAGTATGAACCCTATTCTCAAAAAAGTTTGCCCTCACACACAATTTGCCTCCTTGCTTCTGGAGCTTCTCTGAGTTGCCACGGAGTATTAATACTAGAATCTAGGTCTAGATCTACTTATTTTTTTCTACACTTATTGTAATATAGATTCTAGATCTAATTATATAGACCATTATCAAAAACATGATGTTTTGAAATTCCCTTACTGTAAGACCGAACTGAACACATATTTGCTAGGCGCCGTGAGTCTTGTCCCTTCTTGTTTCAACTGATAGAACGGAAATGACGTCAGTGGCTTTACGCTGTTCCTCATGCTATATCTTTTCCCGCTTGCATTAGATTCAATCTTCACGTTTTGGTGCGAAGTGGATTTATTTAGAAAAGGGGGAGGGGGGGGTGTTTTTTGTATTTCTGTATATTATTTTGTTTTGGATTTTTAGATGCTGACCAAAAGGTTTATAGCCTCTTTGAGGCTGACTTCCACCTACACGCAAATTGACTCTAGATTTTTAAACTAAATTAGACATTTTAGAGTGCACTGGTCATGACTGGTTCTGATTGACTTATTTAGAAAACATAGACAAGTGAGTGTCGGGGAATCACCATGACAATAAATACTCGAGTTTTACGATATTTTCTCCAGGGAGTCCAAGGAGAGAAATGAATGGGAGCAAGGATCGCCGATGTCTTGTCCAGATCTGGCACTTTATGATGATTATGATAAAAGATATTGTCACTGCGCTGGAATACGTACGAGGAAAAAACATTCTTTTTTGCAAGGAAACTAAAATAAAACCAGACCTGGATTGTAAGTTGTAACAGAACTGAACCAAATATAAATATGTTGAATGACTTCTAAAAGTTTTCGATAAACAAAAAGTGAAGGGACTAAAAGAAAACTGGCAGCAGTATTTCAAGAGATAAAAGTATTCAGAGATAGGTGCCCCCCCTCCTCACCCCCTTTCCAAAAAAGAAAGTTAAATAGATAGGTAAATTAGTGAATAAATAAATAAACGAATAAATAAACAAGCAAATGCATGTAGCCCGACCTCACTCTGCTTTTTTCCAGGGAACAAACCCCCAACCATGATTTAAAGGTGACGAACGAGGTAGATTCTTTTCAGTGGGCTCTCGTGGCCTAGAGGTTAAGGTGTTGGCCTCTCATTCAATGGTCCTGGGTTCGAATCCGGGTAGCGACCAAAAAATGTTCTTCTCTAAAATTGTCTTCTTTCCCCTCCTTGATAAATAGGAAGAAGTTAGCCCAGCTAGGGTAGAGAATAGTGGTAAGTGTTTGTTCGTACGGAGTGAGCCAGACGAAGATGAAACTGGCGTGGTCTCTTCTAGAGCAAATTTAAAATGGATGAGCCCAGTCATTGATATCAACATCCTGCAAATTTTGATCTTCTGGTCACTCTGTTTCAGATAATAAACCCAAGTGTGAGTCTTTCAGCTTGGTGCATCGCATTTGCTTAAATTGTACTCTTTCGTGTTGAGAAGACCATTCAGATACTTTTATAAGTCTTTCTGTCTCCCAATGTCAAAGTCCAAACAAAAACAAAGATAGTTGTTCTGGCTTTGTCTTTTAATAGTGAGCAGTCAACTGATTTGGTTGAGCAATCACATCTGGGTTTCAGTTCATTAGTTTTTTAATAGTCATATCTCTTGATTAGTATTGCTTATTGTTGGCCTCTCTCTCTCTCTCTCTCTCTCTCTCTCTCTCTCTCTCTCTCTCTCTCTCTCTCTCTCTCTCTCTCTCTCTCTCTCTCTCTCTCTCTCTTTCTTAGAGGTTAAAAAGCACCTTTGATCTGTTCCAACGCATCGTATGCATGTACTTTGAATGACACTGACACTATTTTTCATTGAGGTCTGGTTCTTCTACTATTTCTGTGCTGGATTTTCTGCAACTTTCTTTGGTGTCCAAAGTGGTTAACATTGATCGGCTTCTTGAAATGCCTTTCCTCGTTGGGGAACTTTGACGCCAAATCAGTGAGCTTTCAATGTCAAACAAGTTTGGAAATATACTTGTAGTTTTGCAAAGGAGCAAGATCAAAATTGTATAACCTACTACTAAAACGGCTCGCAAAAATTGACAGTTGTTGTGAAACAATACCACTCCTACATCTAGGAAAAACACATTTTAAACATGTGACAGAAAGGTTTTCCCACAAAGCGCATGCAGTCGACATCATAAATTATAATCTTTGGCCCGAGAACCGTAAATACTGACCGACCTTTGTGTTTGCTAAACGCAGTCGCCCATATTTCAATGGTCTAAAGAGGCGTTCACAGCGCCAACGCTCAGCCCACGAGTCAAAAATTGATGAGATCGTGAATTCCACACAGGTGTGGGATTCACGGTTTCATCAGGCCGGCCACTTTTGGGGCTCGGTGTTTTTTCACGATTTTCTTATTACTTCAGGTTACACGTTTGTGTTGAGATAATTGAAAAATAGTTTTACAGGGACATTAAAATTTATGACCTCACCGAGCACTATGCAAAATATGTTTTAAAAAATATTTTTAAACAGATTTTCGAAAATTTGAGGGATTGACGGTTTTATCAGGCTACCAACGGTATAACATTAACTCCACAAGCCCAAATATTGACGAGCGTCTGACTCCACCGCGTCGTGACACATATGTGAGGCAGCGTGGTGGAGTCAGGCTCTCGTCAATTATTGGGCATGTAGAGTTATTGGAATCATCTTAAAGCTTGTTCACTTGTGTTTATTTCGATGGAAAAAATATCCGTTTATCTTGAATATAAGTCGAGATATTTGCGAAAGAAGGAGGTGGAGGTCACTTGTTTTCAGAAGTAAAATTAGTGCCAAAATGGCCGCCAAAGATTAGTTATTTCCTTAGCTTAAGAGTCCGTGGTAACTGAAAATTGACATTTTTTGTGCCTTTAATCAACTTTTTTTAGAAAAATCCTCACTGAAATGAGTTTTTTAATGGGCATGAAAGGTGTTGAGCCAAAAAACAAAAATTTGATAAGAATTCACAAACCTGCAGAAAAATGCAAGTTTCTTCAGTTTCATTACAGGGGAAACCTGCTATAACAGGGAAGGTGGGAGTAGAGAAAATGTCCTGTTATATCCGATCCCTGTTATATCAGAAATGCAAGGAAAGTAAGCATTTGTGGACTAATCCAGCTGTACTTATTCATGGGTAGTTTCCTTTGCAACAAGTACCCACGAACAGGGGTTTTGGCACCAAATTCCTCCTTGCCTCCTTAAACCACATCAGAAGAGCTTGGTCCACATATTCTGCATCGGGGAGTCTCATCTTCTTTCGATCCAGAGCAAACTTTCCATTGGAGTATGCTGCCGCTACCTTCTCTCTATCCATGGTAATGGTGTGAATTGACCCTTGTGGAATGTCGAACTGACGACAAATCTCTTCCACTGGAGCTTGCTTTTTCAACTTTTTGTCAACAGCCTGGATTATTTCGTTTTTGTTTTTGTTTTTGTCAATTGAAAGGCATTTTCTCTTGTGCTTGACATCTTTGGTGACAGTAGACACATTACTCGCGCGTGTTGCTAGGTTTCGGGCTAGATCGAGGTCTGCAGCACACCGCAGCCCTCTCTTGCTTCACACGCTGCGTGTGCTTGCAGTGGCATGGCTTGCATGGGCATGCTCCATCACTGCGTTACTCTCTATCTCTCTCTCTCTCTTACTTTTTACACATTGTTAACAAGCCTTTGTCCCTGCTATAACCGGTTGGACTCCGATGAGGCCCTGTTATTGCCGATAACTTTTAATAGAGACAAAGAGTAGGAAAAATCGGGGATTTAAAATATCCCTGTTGTTACTGGATCCCTGTTATTACCGGGCCTGTTATATATTGTTTCCACTGTATTTTGACAAGAGCCTGATTCCACCACGCTGCCTCACATATTCTTTTTTTAATTTACAGAATTCTGAACATGGCATCCGAAACGCCCACAGATTATGGTCTGAAAGGTAACAACACCACTCCCCATAACGTCACAGAATCGGAGAGAATAGCGTACTTAGCCGAACTTCAGGCGCAGACGACACTAATCATGCTTCCCACCATCGTGCTGCTCATCCTCTTCGCTGTCGTGGGCTTGTTCGGGAACACTCTAGTCCTGATTGCCTACTCCCAGAAGTTCCGTAAAACGGCAACCCGGATATTCGTCATGGCGATCGCCAGCTTTGATCTCGTTACCAACGTGTTGGTTATTCCAGGTGACTTCTGTTTTGTTATAAATAATCTAGCATCTGCGTTTGTTGCCATTTTTTTGTCCAAAAGTTGCCAAAAGTTGCAACAAAAAGTGGCAAAAGTTGCCAAAAAGGTTGCCATTAATTTTCAAGCTTTCAACTCTCTGTGACGACGTATAGAGCAATATGTTGATAGAGGTAACAATCTTAAGCACCAGAATTTCTTGTGCTCTGCGTTTTAAGCATCCAGAATATCATTTGTAGTCACCCAGAGTGTAAAAACGTGACAAATAAAGGTTTCACAACAGAATGAAATCAAATTTAGAACAGCACGGATAACTAACCACAAAAATTAACAAAGTAGGGTGCTTGTTTACCTATCAGAAGATTGGCTGTTTTAACAATAAACTTGTGTAATTCAAGAAAAAGTAGGCCTACAGGATAATATTTCATGTAAATTATGGAATCACACACTATTGGGTCGTGCCAGTGTCAGTTTTCGGTTTTGGTGGAGACTCGCTCTAACATAACACATTTATATTTTTAAAAGGGTAAGAACAGCATCAAATTAAATGACATTACGCTGTATAAACACAAAAAAAGAAAAGCAAATCATTAGAACAATTTTTTGAAAAACTAACACACCAACAAATTAAAACACAACAAAGAAGGGAAAATAAAAGACAGCAATTTATTTAGTATGTAATGTAATGTACTTATACTCTCTGCATGAAAATAGAAACACATGGCCATCGTAAAGGTTATCAAAAAACATGTCTAATAATATGTTTTGAAGTGGCTTTGTTGTTTTGTCTTTTTTGAAAACTGCAAAAATCGCGGCGGACCAAAAAAAAGCCAAAAAATCGCGGCCGCGACAAACGCAAATGCTAGAATAATTGTGGTGGTTTTTTGTAGGGTTTTTTTTTGCTTGTGTTTTGTTTATTTTTCTTTGTTTTATCAATTATATGATTGTTTATTTACTGGAGGCACTATTTTGTATGCCAGTCAGCAGAACAGAAAAAAAGCAAGACACGAGCTTATGTCGATTGGGTGTAACAAGCACTCTCCCCTCCCCCCCCCCAAAAAAAAGGGATGCGAACATTACTAGTTGTAACTCGCATGGAGCGTGGAATATATGCACAGTTTTATAAATGCAATTATTATTATTATTAATATTATTATTATCATTGTCGTTATCATCATCTTTATCATTATCATTGTTATCATTATTATTATTATTATCATTATTATGATTATTATCATTATTATTATTATCATTATTATTATTATTATTATTATTATTATTATTATTATTATTATTATGATTATCATTGTCATTATCATAATCTTTATCTTTATTATTATTATTATTATTATTATTATTACCATTATTATTATTATTATCATTATTATCACTATTATTATTATTATTAATATTATTATTATTATCATTGTCATTATCATCATCTTTATCATTATTATTATTATCATTATTATTTTCATTATTATCATTATTATTATTATTATTATTATTATCATTATCGTCATCTGAATCATTATTATTATCATTATTATCATTATTATTATTATTATCTAATCGATTTGTATATCTCTGAGGATCAATTTAGGTTGGCTTTCTAGAGGGTCAGTGTTTTGTTTTAGAAGAGGTTTTACGGCGCTCGCAACTGCATAATGTCATATGAACGCCAGAAGATTTGAGGTGTTACAAGAGAGTAACAAACATAAAAAAGAAGGAGGGGAGATAAGGATGATAGACGTTTGATAGAAAAGAAGAAGCAAACCACACCAGAGGACCCGCCAACCACCCACTGTCAGTGTTTATTGCTCTGCTTTCAAATTGTTTTTATTAGGCTACTTAGCCCATTATGCACCTAATAAAACGCATACTTATGGCAGAGGGAAGAATATGAATAGGCTACACACAGATTTATAGAGGGACAGAAAAACAGATAGGAAGACAAAAAGTAACATTTCAGCCAACAGGGAAGGAAGTGAGACAACAATGATAATACTAATAATAGACAGACGGAGCAAAATAAAAAATGAGAGAAGAAACTTTTCACCCTTCACCCCCTCTTCATTTACACAACCCACCCAGCATCTCATATTTCCTGTTCCCCCTACCCCGTCCTCTTCCCCCTCTCTCTCTCTCCCTCTATCACTCTATCTCTGTCCGTGTGTGTGTCTCTCTCTCTCTCCCTCTATCTCTCTCTCTTTCTCTCTCTGTCTCTGCCTCCCCACCCCCATCTCTCTCTCCCTCTCGGTCCCCCCTTCTTCCCTCTTTAACTCTCTAACAATTCTCTCTCTCTCTCTCTCTGACCCCCCTCTCCCCCCTCTCTCTGACTCTCTCTCTCTGTCTGACTCTCTCTCTCTCTCTCTCCATCCCCACAGTTGAGGTCTACGACATGTTCCACATCTGGGACTTCGACAACGCCCACATGTGCCGTGTCCGCTATTTCGTCTCCTCGGTCACCACTGTGTCGTCTGCCACTCTTCTCCTCGCTCTCTCCATCGTCAGGTGAGGCCACTTATACTTATATATATATATATATATATATATATATATATATATATTGTATACGGTCGCTTTTAAGCACCAGGAGGCTATCTCGACAAACGACGTTTTGGGAAAATCGAAGGTACAGTTTTTGCCCTTTGTTCAGTTTCATCACCCGAGAATCCGGCTTCAAATCAAGAGGAAGGCCATGAAAGACCTGGCTGGATGGGGTTAAAAAGGTCCTGGAACAATAATATATATCTATCACAGACGCTACGCACCTAGCACAGGACCGAAACTTGCACCCCATCTCGACATCCTAAGGATACCAGAAGAAGGAAACGGTAAAAGTAAAATAGTTCAGTTTCTTTACAAGACAATGATAGTTTTTTCCATAAAACCAAACGGACATACACACCAATGAAACCAAACTTCTCCTACAGGTAGTGCCAGGGGCGAAGGCTGACTTGTTGGACAGGGTAATCAAAGTGAGACGGGACGAGATAGGGCCTGGAGATGTCACACAATAATCTTACTCGAGGCGGCAACACTGAGTATATGAATGAAAACAAATTCTAAATTCATATTATTGTATCGCAAAAATAATCGAGAAAGTATTTCATTAAATATTAATTTCAACTAAATCCAGCCTCACTTTAAGCTTACTTAATCAAAGCTTGTGACTGCTTATAGAATGGCTCGAAAGGGGTGAACAGGCTATTTCTGTGACAATGAAACCGTTTAAAATGTTAGGCATACTGTTCGTTGGTGATTATGAACGTCTTTTTATATTTAATTTATAAGGTTTACGGTTATGGGTGAATTTGACTGCGACAATGTTTCAAAATTAGGAAGGGAAGAAATGGCTACTGGATTATATAATCTATTTGGTAGACCGGACTAGCCAGAATGAGGACGAAAAACGACCATCGAGGCAAAGACTGAACTGAGCCAAAGGTGACCTTCAAAATACAAACGGGTTTTTTTTCAAGACCGCGAGTTGGGCGATTCGTTTTGAATTAGAGAACTAATCCCCCAATGGGCACTGAATATTAGACGACTTAAGACTTCTTATAGTCTCTCCGGTTTTGGTAAGAGTTTTATGGGACATGCAACACAATACAGTCATACTGGTGCCGATTATCAAAAGCGCTGTAACAAAATGTTACTTCTCTGACGAAAACTAAGATCATAAGAAAACATTTCACAAATGTAATAGATCTAAGTTAAAAGGAATAAAACATAATAATAATAATAATAATAATAATAATAATAATAATAATAAATTCCGATACACTGTATAATGTGTGTGGCAGTGTGTACATTGTTCTTTGGTTAAGTACTGTCAATCTGAAAATGCCAATAGGCTAAGATTTTGTGTGCACACTGGAATAAAGTTTTGAGCATGTTAACAGTTAGTGACCTCCCAAAGTCCAACCCTTCGTCCCTGTCGGGGGAGGTGGAAACAGGACAAAGTAGGGGATAGCTGGGTCCAGGTGAAGTACGGTGTGACTTTATGTCACTGAGGCGTTACGCTGGCCGTGAAGGCCGACCCAGCTCACCACGAAACGTTGCTGGCAAAAGGGGCTCTGGTGAAACCGTGACTGGCCTACAAAACAAGCTGACGGCGGGTAAGTCATGCTACAAAAATAACAAAGGAGAATAAACGGACTGATTCAAACTGAAAAAGACCAGGACAAGTAAACGGACAGCGAGCAAGAACAACGATTAAAATAGGCACATGGAATGTCAGCGGACTTGGAGACATAAAAACAGAAATAGTGAATTTTATGGAAAGAAAGAAAATAACAACCATGGGCTTGTCAGAGGAGAGGAAAGAAAAAAAAAACATAGGGAAACTATATGCAAAGATATTATAACAGAGGATAAGAAGACCTATTGTAGAGAGAAATCTGAGCAAAGCTCAGTTTGGATTCCGAAAGGGAAGCTGTATTCGCATTAAGACATTACAATGTAAATATATATATATATATATATATATATATATATATATATATATATATATATGCGAGAAAACAATCCAACACAACATATATCAAGTCTGACATATCATCGACGAGGACAGGCTTTTTCCGGAAACTCTTGCGCCATTTCCGTTTGTGTTGTTTGAAGAGCTCCTGGTTATGTTTGCTGTCTCTTCGGGTTTGTTTTCTTGTTGTTGTTGTGTTTTAATTGAGTAAAGAGAAGCACCACATCTACACCGTAAGGTTGTGGGTTCGAATCCCGTCAGGGGCCCGAGTTGATGTCGTCGGGGGAGTGAAAAAAAGATCAACTGATCGGACGTTCATCAACTTAACCGTTGGGACCTACTACTACAATACAATATATTAAGAAGAGGTCGTGGGACCCGAGAAAAAGATCAACTCAATACTTTTTTTATAGTATAGGGTTTTACGGCGCTCGCAACTGCATAAGGCCATGTGAGCGCCAAGGGGTGGGTGTCAACAGAGAAGTCTTTACAGGGAATCAGACTTAGACTGCTCACCTCTCTAGTAGTAGTGTCTCTAGCTTCAACAGCACAAAGTCCTCGTCGACCATTAAGGCACCCTGGAAATAGCAGGTCACAAGAGAGAGACAAACATACAAAAGAAGTAGAGGAACATGATAATAGTAAGGGTCAGGAAAGAAAAAGCAGCAGTTCCCTGTTGTAGATCAGGAGCAGTTATGAACGTGACATGAGTCAGCCCATTTACAATTCTACTATGCTTGAACGAGAAATGTCCCCCCTTTGAACTTAATACTTTACCGAAGATCAACTTAATCAAGATCAACAATCAACACATACATGAATACATGTATAACTTTTGCTTACTGGGATACTGTTCCCTACTGCTACTAAGACCAGATGAGGCAAAATGAACTTAAGATACGATTCCTTTTATTAAAAGAAAAAAATTCATTCATTACAGAAAATTGTTTTAATGACAATTTTCTGTTTTCGAGATGACAATAAATTGTACACACTCAGTAAGGATGGACTGAAGTTTACATGAACAGCCAGACTAAATAGTACTCTCTCTCTCTCTCTCTCTCTCTGTCTCTCTCTCTCTCTCTCTCTTTCTATCTCTCCCCTCTCTCTCTCTCTCTCTCTCTCTCTCACACACACACACACCCACCCACACACACACACACACATGAACATCAGTATATATACAACACACACACACACGCACACACACACACACATGTGAGAACCAATACACTCACACACTCACACACACACACACAGACTCACACATACAGTACAGGCACAGAGTGCAAACAATCTCAGGTTTATACTATTGTATGAAATGTTCATGGCAGCATGGAACTATACTCTAAGATTTGGTCATTCAATCAAGTCTTATGCACTGAAGGATCACATCCCACAGGCAACAGTGGAGATAAAAACTACTGTGGAAACCATATATAACAGGCCCGGTAATAACAGGGATCCGGTTATAACAGGGATTTTTAAAATCCCCGTTTTTTCCTACTCTTTGTCTCTATTAAAAGTTATCTACAATAACAGGGCCCCATCGAAACCCAATCCGTTATAGCAGAGAAAAGGGCTCGTTTTAACAAAGTGTAAAAAGTAAGAGATAGATAGAGAGAGAGAGAGAGAGAGAGAGAGAGAGAGAGAGAGAGAGAGAGACGTAGTGATGAAGCAAGCACACACAGCTGTTGAAGCGAGAGAGAGACTTCGATCCAGCCCTCTAAGCCTAGCTACACGCAGGCGTAATGTGTTATGCGCAGGCCTGCCACATGGCCAAAACCCCTGTTCGCGGGTACTTGTGGGAAGGGAAACTACCCATGAATAAATTATACAGCTGGATTAGTCCACAAATGCCTACTTCCCTTGCATTTCTGATCATTTAAAAGGGATCTGATTTATCAGGATTTTTTTTCTTCTGGTCCCACCATCCCTGTTATATCAGGTTTCCACTGTATGTTAACGGAGGCATAAAACATGATTCATATGATAAAATGGTACAAGTACATGTAAAACCAACCACACCTCCATAAAACATCATTTATTAAGTTTTAAGGTGGTCAGTTCGAATCCTGCCAGGGGCCCAACATTGCGTACCAAGAAAAAGGCACTTTACACAAATTTTCCTCAATTCACCCAGGTAGAAATGGGCATCCGACAAGGTAACACAGCAAAATACATTGTCATTTTGTTAGTGTTTGAGCGCTGAACCAACTGGTTGCACTGAATGCTTCCAGGGAAGCTGAGGATGTTTTTGAGTGTTCTTCTAAGGTCAGCTGGGGTAATAATGAGTAGTGTACAGTGCAAACATCTTGCTGTCAGGTGTAGATAGCGCTATGCAAAATAAATACTATTCATTATTGTGATTACTTGAACCAAATTTCTGTGAGGATCTTACTGAAAATCGTTGATAAGAGACAACAAAATGCTAAAATTTTCAATTTTCAAGGACTCTTAAGATTTGGAAGTCAAACAACTTTGGTGGCCATTCTCTTGCTAATTTTACCTCTGACCCTGGGCAACCAACCACATTCTTCAATCACAAACATCTTGACTTTGGCATGCTTTTTACACTGTTCTTTAAAAAAAGACTGACCAGCAATGACAATTGTTACGGACGTCCTGAACTTGATATGAACAAAATATAGATCATTTAACCCTATCCGTACGCCCTGGGGTCATTTTGTACCCCCGGGGTTGTATTTTTCACATTTTAAAATACTTCTAGATCTAGTAGGAAGATCTCTTTGAAACTTTCAGTATTTCTCAAAAAATTATTTTGACAGACTGCTATGCAAAGCGTACGGATCGGATTAACGAGTAAATTTCCTCTCTGAAAGTGGTGGCACAGAATTTCCAAAGTCGTATGTACACGATATTAATAATCCACAAGGTGTTTGGATAGGGTTAAGAGGCGGGCTTCCACCCTGACAGGCCAACCCAAGCTGAGAGGAACACATCCAGGCAAAAAGACCCAAGATAATTACATAAAAATTCTCCCCACTCAGAAATCAAATTCAGGTAAAAGTTTCTAGTGTGAAACGGTAAACAACAAAGCACCTGACCACTTCACTGGCCGTTGTTGAGTGGAAAGCAGTAGACTAGATACAAGAAATGTCCCTGACTAAAAGGACTTAGACTACTTACAGCAAACAAATGCGCATGAACACTGACTGTATCTTCCAGCTTTACAACGTGACTCAGAGCAAAAAAGCACAATAAAGAATACCGGTATTACGAAAATTTGGGGGGAAAATCTTTTAAAATTTCAGAAATTACCCTGTGCTTTCTTTTTCTCATCCAACAAGAAATTCTTAAGCATTGAACAAGGGCCGATTCTCATCTTCACTTCATTGTTTACTCACTGCAGTATTTTTTCTATATCCCAATCAACACAATTTAGATAACTAGGGTGAGGTTTGACAATGCTTATCAGGGCTAACCTGGGCTAAGAGGGGTAAAATATTCAGCAGAAAGACTGAAACACTCAATACAAGTTTTCCAAACATAGGAATAAAACTCGGGTCATCTGTGAGTAAGGGCAAAGAGACTAACCACTACACTACAAATGCGAGTATCCTCATTTCGATAGAGATCATATTTTCTCCAAGTAGCCTACATAAGAATGTAATTAGAAGACTTCTGCAAAACATAAACACTAAAATACGTAGTACAAAAGCATGTGAGCATGGTGCAACTTCATAACAGTTGAAAAATTCAACTTCAGTTCCTTGATCCATTAACTAAAAAAATTCATGACCATGGAGGAATGCCACTTCTCAACGATTGCTTATCTTAAAAGACATCACCACAGCACAACTTCCTACATGTACTAATGTACTGAGCAGACGCTCTGTAACAACATCGTCGGGACCAGAAAAAACTGTCGTTACAGAGTTGTCGCTATAGAGAGGCAACCAAAAATTACTAATGATAGATCTGAAAAATATCGGGATCTGGGGCCCCATGTCACTCTATACAGAGGATGTCATTATATCCAAGGTCGTTCTAGAGAGGCTGCACTGTGTATTAAATTCGTTTGATAGGCCTGCACCTCAGTGAGATCAAAGATCACTACTATGTCAACCCGTGACAAAACATGTAATCAAAAGAAAACTGCAAACTACCACTGAAGTCAGCCTCTAGGGGTGATGTCCACCTGGTGGGGGGTGAATTCCACCTCGTTAGCGGAGACGAATGATCGTAGCGCATCCGAAGCGACAGTCAGCACCAGCTGAGGAGTGACTGACGAGGCAGGGCAGTGGGTTACCTTTCCGTCATGTGACAACTCGGATTGCAGTCTCTGCTCCAGAATGGGCTGCTGAATGGTTGAGATCATACTTGGGAAATGCAGAAGTATCTTAGGCGCTGGCACTTCTTGCGGAGGAAAACTGTGTAGGCCTAGTCGCTGAAGCGGCTGTTGCTGCTGCTGCTGCAATATCTGTATCTCTCCTTGCTGCTGATAGATTTCAAAGTGGTGCAATCCTTCCGGTCTGTTTTCTAGCTGAGTAAGATTTCCACTGCTGGGTATTGGTTCAAGTTCTTCTTCATTTTGCAGACCTGACAGGCCTACTACATCTTCATGCACCGAAACCATCTGAGAAGTATGCGTTTTGCTCAAATGTTTTCTGAGAGCTTTCTGAGTGTCACAAGTGAAGTTGCACTGTGGACAAGCCACACGTTTCTGGCCTGTGTGCCTAGACATGTGAATACTCAAAGTGGAGGAACGAGTGTAGGCCTTCTCACAGATGGTACATTTATACGGCTTCAAACCGTCATGTTTTCTTCGATGGTACGTCAGACTTGATATTTGAGTAAACGAATCCCCGCATACATCACAACGGTAGGGCTTGGTCCCAGTGTGAGTCCTCACATGTGCCCTTAGTGTGCTGCGGTGGGTGAAACCTTTGCCGCAGTGCTGGCACTGATAGGGCCGCTCCTTTGTGTGAACCTTTATGTGCATGTTTAGAAGGGTGATATCCAGGAAAAGTTTCCCGCAGAACTCGCAGGTGAAAGGACGTTGCCCTGTGTGTTTCCTCATGTGCTTTTCAAGCCGAGCCGCAGTGATGAAGCCTATTCCACAAACCCCACACTTAAACGGCCGAACACCCGTGTGTTGCGTCATCATATGGAGCTTCAAACAAGAACTCTCCCTGAAAAATTTACCACACGGCTTGCACTCAAAGGGCTGTGCTCCAGGGTGTGTCCGCATATGATCCTTGAGCTCTTTTGATTTCAGAAAACTTTTGTCACACACAGCACAGTCAAACCTATCGTTGGCATTATGACTCTTCATGTGGTCTTTGAGTTCCCCTAGTCTCAAGCAGGAGAACAGACAAATACCACAGACAAAAGGAAGCTTCCCCGCGTGTTGAAGTTCTAGGTGATATTTCAGACTGTCTGCAGAGTCAAACATGTCCTTACAGTGGTGGCACGCCATCCTCTGGCCGTCTTCATGCAGAAGCATGTGACCCTTCAGATGGTCTGACCGAGTGAATGTTTTGTTGCACACACTACACTGATATGGTCTCTCTCCACTGTGAAGCCTCATGTGTGTGGTTAGGTTGCCCCTTCTGGAAAACAATTGACCACATACATTGCACTTGGGCTTTCCTCTGTCCTTTGTGACATCCAACTTGGTCACCTGTTGTTTTCGCCTCTTATTAGTCATCAATTTCTGCTTCACATTATCTTTCTTCTGAACAATCCTGGAGCTGATTCGGAGGGGAGTAACTTTCTTTGAATTTGACTTCTCAGAGTCTGACTGCGACTGAACTTCTGAAACAGTGTGATTTATTGAAAACAAGTCTTCTGTATCTGCCAAAGACTCACTCTCATCATTACTAAGTGCTTTAGCTTCACTTAAGTCTAACATATGACTAAGCTTCTTTGATTCCCCTCCTGTTAAACAAATTTCTTCTACTGCTGCAGATTCTTCTTCATTATTTTGACTGTCTCCGGAGACCCCCAGGTTATTAAAGCTCACGTTGTCTTGCTCAACATGATTTTCATATGTCTGGGTATAGTCAAGAGCTGAACTCACAACTGTTGAAATTGACGGTATATTTTCAAGAGACACAAACGTGTCCGATTTCTTTTGATTCTTACTTTCATCTTGGTTATCACCTACACACACAGAGTTCGCATGCTGTCGCACAGACACAATGTCTCCCACGGAGACTCTACTTGTCTCACCTTGACCATTAGACAAGCTGACAAATGGAGGTGCTGAGGTTGCAACATCGCTTCTCTCCGACCCAGCACGGAGAGACAACAGTGATGGCTGGGAGTCCATATTACCCAGAGTCATGTGGCCATCATCTCTGTCTTTCATATAAACCACCTCAGAAGATAAGACGGAATGTGAAATCTGACTTTCTTTTTGGTTATTTGAAAATGACTCTTCAACAGACACACTGCATTTTTCATTTATGCCTGACGTGTTTTGAAAGTGAAAATCTGTCTTCATATCTGTGCACAAATCTGACATATTCATACTACCGATTACACTCGTTTTATTTATATTTCTGTCTTTATATACACCAATACACTCCGTCTGCACTGCATATTCAGGGGAGGAAAAAATACAATCAGCCTCATTTACACTGGAATCTTGCAGATTCTTTGAAGGAAATGGACAATTATCCTGGGTATCAAAAAAATTTTCAGAATACTTTTCAAGTGTCTGTATCACACCTACAGTTTTAGAGTCATTCAGTGTTCTGTGGAAATTTTCAGCATACAGAGCATTAGGATCCTGACTTACATTTAATGATGCATCATGCACACCAGCTGTGCCTTCATGAGTCTTTTCCATGTGGCTTTTCAAAATTTTCTGAAGATCACACTTAAAGTCACAACGAGAGCAAGAAAAACGCTTCTCTCCAGAATGCCTGGCGAGATGGACATTTAAAGTAGTCATGCGGGTGTAAGAATTGCCACAGATGTGACACGAGTATGGTTTTTCCCCACTGTGAGTCCTCTTATGATAAGTCAGGCTGGAGATCTGAGCAAAGGCCTTGCCACATATATCACACTTGTAGGGCCGAACACCAGTGTGGACACGTACATGTGCCCTTAACGTGCTGCCGTGCATAAAGGCTTTACCACAGTGGCTGCACATGAATGCTTTGGTGCCGCTATGTATTTGTTTGTGCATTTTCAAAAGACGACTTTCCCCAAACATCCGTCCACAAACGTCACATGAGAATGGTAGCTCACCCGTGTGTTTCCTTGCATGTGTTTTCAGCTTGGCTGACGTGGTAAATGTTTCACTGCAGGTGGTGCATTTGTACGGTTTTACCCCTGTATGTTTTCTTAGATGGACATTCAAATTGGAGCTCTGGTTAAAAGTTTGACCACAGTAGTGGCAAGAATATTTCTGAAAGTTGTTATGCTTTCGTAAATGGTTTCTTAATCCTTTCTGATCATTAAACGCACTGCCGCAAATATCACACAACACTGTCTTACTTTTTTCAGGTGTATCAATTCTTGTGTACTTCTTCAACTCATTCAATCTGATCACATCGCCATGTTTGTTGACCTTGTGATACTTAAGGTGGTCAGCTCGCCTGAAAGATTCATTGCATTCATCACAAAGGAACTCTTTGACAGACTTGTGGCACAGTTCATGATTTTTCAAATGATCAGATCGCGCAAAGGTCTTTCCACAGGTGTCACATGTATAAGGCCTCTCACCCGTGTGGACTCGCATGTGGAGTTTCAGATTAGCGGCTCGGGCGAATGTTCTACTGCAGATCTGGCAGGTAAGATTGCCATTTTGCTTGTCTCCAGATTTCTCTGTTAGTACTTCTTGTGGCTGCTCACAGACATTCTTACTGTCTGTCACTTTCTGCAATCGTCCGCTTACAGACTTACGTTCCCGTGTTCCAGTTGCACTCAACTGATTTCTCATTTTACGGACAGAACTTGACTTCAATGAAGTTCTTTGCTCTATCACATTTGGGGCAGGCTTGTTCCCAGACTTGTGACTTTGGGTCATATGTTTCTGCAGTAACTTCTGGGTTGAACAAACAAGATGGCAGACACTGCAAGAATAGCCACCTTCACCTGAATGGAAATTTCGTATATGCTTTTTCAAAAGACTTTCATTCTTGAAATTCTTTTCACACAAATTACAAGACATTCTACTTTCCATCAGCTCACGACCATTTTCAGCCTTCTTTCTTTGCCTTTTACTTAAATCTCCAGCAAACTCACAGTCTTCTTTGTGTTTTTTCAGATGATATGGACTGGAAAAGCCACTTAGGCAAGCAGTGCATGAGTATCTAGAGCTGCCCTTGGAAGCCTTGAGTTCTCCACTTGTTTCCATTTTATCATCCAAATATTTATAATAAGCTAGCTCCAAGTACTGTGCTTCAAGTTAACCCCCACTTCCACTGTGCTCCACAGCACAAGGTTCAATCTGATACCTACATTCATATGATAGATAAGATATGATGAAAAAGCTGAGAAGCTCTTTGTCATTTGACTGTGTTTGCCAACACGATAGTCTCCTCTAAACCTTTCTGATTCAGAGGGCCATTTTTCCTGCCAATCCATCTGACGTCTGATCTTCACACCATGAGGAATTCCTGAATGTGGTGACAACTCGTCTTCATAAATACGATATTGAGCAGGAGAGAGTCTTCATGAAGAAATCTGTAACACCTGAAAGTATAAAAAGAAAAAATACAGAATTATTTTTTGAAAATAAAGAAAGAAATGTAGCATGAGTATGACGTAAAGAAGTGCATATTATTATCTGTCTTCTCATTGGTTGCCAAATTTGGGGACGTATGGGTAATATTTAAACAGTCAAGGTATCTTCCGAATATTAAGGAAAGTAGGAATATCATGATGCCGTTTGGCGGTTTTCAGTTTCGCAACAGACCAATCCTCTTTCTGTGATAAAAACTCAACTGCCACTGAAGACACCAGAAAAAAAAAATTTTCTTCAGTGACAGCCTCAATTTCTCCCCTTAGGAGTATTAATTATGTATAATACATGGGGCTGACGCAAAAAACAATACAATGCTATAAATTAGCATGTTGCCGGGGCTACCCCTGGCTGGGGCGGGTCTACAGCACTTTTACACTACTGGCGCGGGGCATGTGGTATTGCTTCATTATCATTTAAATAACTTTTACGAGAACACTCAAGATGATATTAAAAAAAGGTACCAGTTTAGTTGAAGGTCTACTGCACGAACTATCACAGTATACCATACATCCCGCCCAATTGGCCATGGTCTACAGCATAGTGCAAGTCCCACATCACTGGCAATGGTCATGATGATGATAACGAAGGGAGCATTTAACATATGTGAGGCAGCGTGGTGAAATCAGGCGCTCGTCAAAATAATGAAATCCAAGAAATTGGCATTTTTCAGCCAGATTGGAAATTTTATTTCAAATTTTTGTTTTTTAGCTCAACACATCGTATGTCCATTCAAGAACACTTTTGTGTGCGGATTTTAAGGAAAAACGTTGATTAAAGGCACAAAAAATATGAATTTGCAGTTTCCAACGACTCTTAAACTATGGAAGTAACCAAACTTTGGCAGCCAATATCTCGATATTTTTATTTCTGAAACCAGGCGACCCTAACTCTTTCAATCATTATTATGGGAAAGTACGCCTACACACGCAAAAATCCACCTGAGTAACCTTTATTCGTCATTCGAACTGATTCTGCCAAAATCATTGTAAATACTAGAAGAATAGCATGCGGTCATCTTGAAGTCCATATCAGCACTAAATTCACGTAAAACTGAAATTAAGCCCAATTATTTGTGACAGCAAATAGGCGAAAGAAACGTTCAATACGACTGTGTCTATGAGCACCGTTTGCTTTTTTCCGCGGTATTCGGTCCGACCAAAATAACTGTCCAATCAGCGGCTACGCTTTAACTCAGCCGTGACGTCACAGATTAGCGTTGGTGCTAAATATAACGCCGTGTGTTAAATATAAGGCTTAATCTACACTTTGTTGCTGGAAGTTCTCATGGTCGAATGGATAGAGCGTGAACTGCGTTTGAAGTCAAACCATAATTTTATGAGCGTGGGTACAAATCCCGGTCCTGGAAGTTTCTTGGGTTTTTTTTTCCTTTTTCTCCTCTTCCCGACTGACCAACATTTTTTTCCCATAATTATAACTTGTAGCTTTGTAGTTTTTTTATGTAGTGATGAAGCATGCACATTCTGGTTTTGTCCGAAAAAGGATCTTTTTACCTCTACAAAGTAGGTCTATACTTTTCCTACCAATTTAGGCCTGGTTAAAGTTTATTTATGGCTTTCCTTGGTCTGTGAGTCTACTTTAAAAAAATTTTAATTTTAGGCTCAGGAGAAAAAAAACAAAAAACTTAAAAACTTACAGTACCGGGATTCGATGTAATGCTTAGAAGCACTGAAATATTAGAAAATGTAGACACAGCTTGTATACATTCTCTCTGCCTAACGTTAGAGAAATTAGACACTACCGCATGCTAATTTAAACACCGAAGCCTAGAAATCTAGATCAGGCAACGTCAAGTGTGATGGCAAAATATAAAGTGCACGCAAGAGAGGTCTAATAATTATTTTAAGGCATTGTATGACAACACTGTGGACAGGAAATAGTGCTTTTAGACCGACTTGCACAGTCTTGTTATTGTTACCAAGTGTCTTTTGACTTACTTGCTCTCAAACTCAAATGATAATGATAGAGATGAACAAGACTACTTTCGTGCAAATGATGTCAGTGTCAGAAACAATTGTTAGATCTAGATCTAGATCAAGAACTACCCAATATTGATCGGAATAAGACGTCATAAAAAGGAGTCAAAGCCTATGAAGTTTCAAGAAACTGACACAGAAAGCTTCCATAATAATTTAAAAAACGAAGTGTATACAGACCCGGTAACCGGGAACAAAGTCACGAAGTATGGCCACCTCTATTCTCACCCGGAGTGAAAATAGTGCAGGCGAGTCTTGTGGCTATTCTCACCCAGTGCG